CCAGGCTCAGGTGCTGCCGAGGCTGCGTGGCAAGAGCCAGTGTGAGGCTGGGGAGGGGCCGGTGGGGGACGCACCATGAATCCCAGCTTGCGGAACTCCTTGGCGCACAGGGACCGCCGGCGCTCAGTGCTGAAGTTGCTGGCGGGTGCCTCACTCTCCGACTCAAAGGCTGTTTGACGCAGCGACTGGAGGAGCTCCCGCTGCTCCTGGAGGGAGAGCGGAGAGGAGGGGGTGCTGGTCAGCGCCACGCAAGCAGGTTCTCCCAGGACAAACCAGCCATTAAATCAAATGTGCTGGGTTCAGACAAAGGTGAACCTTCACCCGCCTCTACTTCCACCAGTGGAAGAGCCCAGGCCAGACTGCTCGTAGACCTGTGAGTAGGGATCCATGGAGGTCCTCATGCGGCGCTCGCACAGGTTGAGGCTGACAGACTGCAGCACATACAGGTAATGGGCCATCTCGTCCCCCAGCGGCTCCGAGCTGTGGATGATGTTCTGCAGGAGACCATGAGTGAGAAGGTTCCCCCCAGCTGCTGCTCCCAGTTCCTCCAAGCCCAGGGCCCAACAGCCAAAGCCCAGCAGGTCCTGTTGCTCAATGGGTGTTAGGAAGTGGGCAGCTCCCGTCAGGGTTGAGCAAAAGCTGGGCACACTGAACCACAGGGCAGCCAAAGGTGCAACCTTGGGCACGTGGGTGGCAGCACCCACAGGAGGCATCAAGGAAGGGGTGTGGGGCACGCAAGCAACCCAGCCAGGCACAGTCACCAAAAGCTGGAGCTGAGGGGACAGGGGCTGGGGAGGAAAGGGCAGAGGATGAAGCACAACCCCAGATCCTCACCTTGTGGATAAACTGCCTGATGTTCTTCTCCCTCAGGTAGTCCATCATGTCCTAGGAAGGGAAGAAGCTATGAGACATTCTCCAGCTCCACATACCACTCTCTCCCCCCAAAAAAATGTGTTCCCTTTGCAGCCCTCACATCCCCACTAAGCTTGGTGTCGTGCCACAGGCAGGGTGGGAACAGAAAGGATCCAACAACCTCAGGAGTGACACCAGTGAGATCTGCCCCCAGCTTTCACTGCCCTAGCCCACCCCAGGGTGGCCCAAACAGACCCTGCCCCACCAGGCTGCCAGGACAGGCTGTGTCAGTCAAGGAGAAGAGGCAAGAGAGAAGACACTGAATTGAAACCTCTCTGGGCACCTCTCAGCCCCACCATCCCAGAGAACACAAATACTACAGCAGAGGACCCAGCTGCCCAAGACCCCACCTCACAGCAGGGCCCAGACGTGATGGCTCAGATGTGCCAGGCACTGGATATGGGCCATCACGGTCACTCTGGCACCACCAGCCATGACACTTCTGTCATTTGAGATCTTACATCCCCACCAAATTACTCCAAGGGGTTTGAGTCAGCTGAGGCCTCTCAGCAGAGCACCCCCATGACAAGGGCACAGTGGTGCCTGGATGTGCAGTGCCCACTGCCCTGCCATCACCCAGCCCTGCCTCCTGCCCATGGACAGAGAGGAGCCCCTTACCCGCCGCTCAGCATCGGTCGCAGCCAGCAGCAGGGCAATCAGCAGGGCCATGGCCTTCAGTTGCAGCTGGGCATTTGTCCTGCAGGAGGAGGATGAGGAGGATGGGGAGAGTCACCAGCTCTGAGGGTAGTCGTGCCCTTCCCCAAGGCAGAGTCCTCTCCCCACTTCACTGCTGGACCTCACTGCCCAGAGCTGGGGACCCACAGAGGCCAGAGCCATTGAGTAAGCAGCTGCTGACAGCAAGGCTAGGAGTGAGGTGGTCTCCTCACAGGGAGCTGTGACTGCAGAGCACCCATGGTCAAATACTTCTCTGCATACGCCCATGGGTGCAGCATTTTGGAGGTGCAGGAAAACCCAGGGTGAGCAGAAGACTCCCCTCTGGCAGGAGCCCTGGGCATGAGCCTATCTATTTTCTAGAAAGAAAAACCTTCAAACTGAAGAGATGCAGATGAGGGAACAGAGAACCCGCCTTAGCTGAGGGATTTAACAAACTTTGTTTGTTCAGTACAGCACCACCCCTCCCAAGTTGCAGGGAACTTACTACTGCTCCTAAATACACTGGGGAAAGGGAAGGAAGATCCAGTGCCAGAAAAAATGCCAGTCGGCTAAAGAACCAGGATATCTGAGCAAAGCAGGCCATGAATGAGGCCATGAAGGAATCTGACCTGGAAACAGGATGGTTTTCAGGAGGGTCCATCCCTCCCCCAGCAGCGGGACAGGACACACTGCCCACTCACAAGTTGTTTAGGAAGAGACAATACAACACTGTGCCAGGGATAATCATCAAGACCCAGAGAAATCTCCTCCACTGTCTCATCCCCACTGGCTTTGGGATGGGGCAAACAGTGCTCTGGCCTCTCCACTTACACCTGCAGGTGGGTGAGAAGACGATCCAGTGTCACTTCTTTTTTAACTAGTTCAAAGAGCAGGCGACTGGTAGGCACCATGTTCTCCAAGATGGATAAGGAGAGCTGCTGGACAGACACATCCACCGTGTTCATATTGACGTAACTCACTATCTACGAGACACAAAACCACCTGTCAGTGGCAGGCTGAGCCTTGGTGACAAGGCCAACAAGGAATCCCAAGGGTACAAGCTGTGGAGCCTGTAGAAGGCGCTTACCTTCTTGATGAAGGCTGCACTAAGAGTCTCCCAGGAAACAAAATCATGCTCCATCAGCTCCATGAAGGCCTTCAGGGTGTGAGCTATCATCTCCCCTGTACTGGAGGGATAGACAAGCAAATGCAGTGAGGATGGCTCCAGATACCCCACCATGAGTCACCACAATAAGAGGGGAGCACAGCTGCATGTTGGTGGGTACGTTAGAAACAGCTCGAGAAGCAGATAGCAGTGAACAGGAGAAGAAAGGAAAAAGACTCCTAAGAAATCAGACTCTCGCTTAGTCATCCAAGGAAGTCAAGGCAGGGGAAGTTCCAGTTTCTGGAAAGCTGCGTTACCACGGTACAAAGATCACTGCAGTCAAGGCCTTGAGAAAGACAAGCCACCCCAAATCCCTCCCCCTGCTTCCAAGAAACACACACTGTGCTGCCTGGTGTTAGGCTCCACACCCTCTGTGAGGTAAGGAGCTCAAAGGAGATGTGCCATCACATCCTGGAAGAGTCAAGTAAGCACTAGTATCTGGCAACCAGGGTTTTCTCGAGCTGCCTGTAAATCTCTCACAGCTAAACCCTCGGGGCAGAGGGACTATTCAGGGTGGCAAAATGAGCAGCAGTGGAGGCTGGGATCATCACAGGGGGTTTCCTGGTAGCAAAACCCATGAGACTGCAGGTGATCCAGGCGGTTCAAGTCTGAGCACATTCACGAGGAGCCAGGACCACAGACCCGTGGGGACCTTCCCCAGGCTGCCAGCATGTGGGAACACATGTACCTGGAGGTAAGGAGCCTGCAGCCAAGCGGCCTGCTGCCAGCACTGCCCTGCACACACAGGGATCAACGAGGCAGGACCACAAAGAGAGTCAACTCCAACACCCACCTTAGAGCTCACGCAGCATTAGCAAGGGAGAAGAAACATCAAGAACTGCAAGGAAAGTCCTCTCCTGGTACTCACTCGTTCCCTTCTTCCACAATATAGAAGATTTGTTTCAAGCCATTCCTGTTGATGAACTCCTGAGCAAAGGTAACATCCTGGGAGAGGTTTGCTAGCTTCTTCAGAGAGTCAGTCTTCACATCTGAGTTGTTGCTCTGGATCCCGCTGTACAATCGCTCTGCTTCTTGGTCCTACCAGGAAGGAAAAATCAAGCCAAAGGGGCTCATCGAAAGACAGCGACAAGCTTGGAGAAGGTTGGAAGAGCTTAAGCACAAGTTTTGGAAGGAGGCTCAGGCTAGAGTGGCCCCAGGGAGGAGCTGGACCAAGACAGAGCCACCAGAGCAGAGACCAGGAAGAGGTGAGGAAGGAGGTCAAGCTGGTTGATGAGTTGGCCCACACGTCCAAAGCATCTCAAGATGATTCAGTTTCTCTTCAAACTCCCCCAAGCTCTGTCGAGGGAGAATGAAGCTTGAGACAGGTCTCCTCCCTGTGTTACTTCTGCTGGGTCTGAGGCACCGAGAGGAGCCATCATGAGCCAGAAGTCACCAAGCGAGGCGGCAGAGGGCTTGGAGCACCGCACTGCCCCACTGCAGGGCGACAGCCCACCAGAGCACGCGGCAGAGAAGGAGACGGAGGGACAGAGGGACGTACCGGGGAGGTGGTCAGCCGTAAGATGCTCCCGTTCTTAATCTCCCCGCGATTCTGTAAGGAGAAGGGAAGCGGTGAGCTGGTGAAGGCCACACGGGTGGGGCCGGGGAGAGCCCAGGGGGTGTCTCACCGACTCGGTGATGTAGGTCTGCCGTCCATCCACGTACTGCAGGGCGTAGTGCTCGGCGTTGGGCAGGCTCCACCTGTGGGGACGGGTGGCTGGTCACAGCACCGTGTGGCTACTGCCGGTCGCCACGGGGCCAGCGGCAGCCCAGCTGCGGCTGTCACAACCCGGCGGGAAGTTCTGGCCTTTCCCGTGCGGAAGAGGGGAGCGACGGGTGCCGGTACTCACGCATCGCAGACGTCCTTGAGCACCGAGGCGAGGGGCTTGGTCTGCAAGAGAGAGGTCGGCCATGAGCTGCGGGTCAGGAGTGCGGGGCGGGGGGGCCTGGGGGGGCCCGGGCGGTACCTGCTGGAGGTCGATGAGCTGCGGGATGGCTCCCACCATCTGGATGGCGATCTTCACCACGTCCTTGGGCGGCGGCATGGCTCCCGCGGCCGG